AGACGAGGTGGTGTCTCTGCTCCCACACCGGCCTCGGTCTCCATCTCACATCCTTTACAGGAACATCAAGTTTCCACTGAAACAATGATTATTATCTGCAGCTCAGTGCTGTGAGAGGACACCCGTGATGGGTCTTTGTGACTGGGCCCGCCTTCTTCATCATGTACTTATATGGTGATGACAGCTCAGCTGCTGTGAGCAATGGCTGCCATGTTAGCGTCATCGTGGTTTTTTAACCTGCGCGGGTTTTTAAACAAACAGCCGCTGAAGCTGCCTTATTGCTCGATGCTGAAGCATTGACCGGGTGCAGTGGATCATCTGTTTTATCCTCTAAATACATTTGGATTTAATTTCATTTCATGGATTCAGATTATTTCCTCCTCACCTTTGGCACGTGTTACAACAAATTCGTTATTGTCTTCTTATTTCCCACTTCTCTGTGGTACGAGACCAGGATGTCCCTTATCCCCTCTTCTTTTTGCGTTATCAGTTAAACTGTTGGTGATTAAACTGCGAGCTGACAGTTGCATTAAAAACATCTTCAGAGCTGACGACCTCCTGATGTCAGAGCCTTCATGCTCTCTGCCTCGTGCTCTCACTGGTTTTGAATGCTTTGAGAGTACTGGGATCTTCAGAGATGGACCAGTTTACCACTGTCATTAACTGGCTGCATCAGTCCTATCAACATGAACAAACGATCCTTTATTCTCAGTGTGTCCCATGCTACTTACCCAATAAGTATTTTATGACACTGACTAAGCAGATCTCTGCATTTATCTGGAAAAGTCCACGAAAGATTTCATGCAGAGAACTGGGCCAAACGTTCAGTCTTCTTATTGGGCAGCAGATATTTGAACTATGCTGGATGAGTAGTTTCACTGCAGAGGCTCCAGCTTGGCCCCAGAGTGAGTCTGAGCTTTGTTGAGTCCTCTCCCAGTAGATCTGTGCACCTGTGTAACCCTGTATGACGCTCAGATGCTGGCTGCAGTGTAGGAAAAGGTTGGGGTTACACTTAATGCCTCCACGATGGACTCTGCCTTTAAAATATGGGAAAGTAATGGAAATATCAAAGAGCTTTTTGTAGCTGGGATTGTTGCCTCATTCACGCAGCTGCTGAAGCAGTTTAATGATCCTCAGCAACATTTCTCCACTTTGTAAAGAGCCGATTTCCTTCATTTCAGGAACAGCCTGAGGAAACGTCTTTGGATAAAATGATTAATATAAACGTTCATAAGAGATTAAAGAAATCTGCGCTATATCATTAGATCTTCTCTCTCCATCCTTAAAGCACAGGAGGAGAGACCCTGGGCTCTTCTTCTATGTGTGCCATGCACGAGCTGCAGTTCAAGGTCCTGCACTGATCACATGTCTCCGAGGAAAAGTTAGCCAAGTTCTCTGCAGGAGCCGAGCCCTGTGTGACAGATGTAAAGCAGGTTCACGCCTTCAGGCTGTCTGTGTTTAACACTCTGTCAGAGATATAAACGTTAAATATGATCCTCGTGCTCTAACGGCCGTCGTTGGGATGATGCCTGAAAACATCACTCAGTTCAGTTCTGTTGCCTTTCATTGCAAGGCGCCGTATACTTTGAAGATGAAGCAGGAAGCTCCTCCCACACGTGAACAGTGGCGTGCAGAGCACGTCAGGTTTTTGCATTTGGAAAGATGAGATCTACACTGGCAGGTT